TTTAATATTTAGTAAAAAATATATAACACAGCAAAAACATTTAAATCAGAATTTCAGTGGATCTATATAGGCATTTTAGGTAATTGCAGTTTTGGTAATCATTTATTTGTTTCATTATATAATGTAATCATTCATATCATTATATAATGTAATCATTATCTAATGTAATCAAATATAATTAATCATTTGTTTTATTATATAATGTAACCATTCATTAATTGCAGTTTTGGTAATCATTTATGGCCCATTAGTGGCAGCAGCCAAAAGTGGCTAACATATGAATAACCCTATATCACTTGATAGAATGTTATTGGCAATTTACTAAGTAATCGATGAGAAACTCTCCTTAGTTTCTCCTTATTTTTTTTTTTATCATCTAGGAAATTTTATTAAAGTGAATAGATTGCAAACCTATATTTCTATTGTATATATATTTGTATATACATATATATATATATATATATATATATATATATATATATATATATATATATATATATATATATATATATATATATATATATATATATATATATATATTATATATATATATATATATATATAAATTATAATAGCATATCGTTTTTTAATTAACAAATATATATTCTTTCATTCATTTGCTTACTTATCTTAAGAATAATGAAATATAAAAAATGTTTAAAGTTAAGAATAGTTTTGATCTTTACTAGTGTGATTCTATCGCCAAGTTTCTTGAATGTGTTCAATCATTTCTCGATACAAATGTTGCAAAAAGCAATATATTTTTTATTATGGTTGAATGTTTAGTTTTCTTTATAAGGGTAAATTATTATCATAAATTACATAAAAAATTTTAATCTGTAATTATATACATGATGCTCACTTTACAAATAAACATAATTTACACAAAATTTTGAATTGAAGCATTTTATAGAAACATAAATAGAGCATTTTTAATACCGCAATTATATTGCATACTTGATATACATAAATATATATGCTGGTCACAACATTCCAGTCAAAAATTTCTTTAAAAAAATAAATTTAGTGTTGAGAAATTCGTATTTTTTGATGTTTGATGTTATGTTTGTAAAACAATAATTATATATAATATATATATATATATATATATATATATATATATATATATATATATATACATTTATGTGTGTGTGTGAGTGTGTGCGTGTGCGTGCGCGTGTGTGTGTGTGTGTGTGTGTGTGTGTGTGTGTGTTATTTATTTCTTTCCTCTTTATTTTTACATACTTATCTTAACAATATTTTTTTAGGGTTAAGACTGCTCCCCTGATTCCTACAGCAAAAAAAAACTTTAAAATGCTGGTGATAATATTTTAAAGAGTGCACCTGATTGAAAAGAATGTGAATGACGTCAACTGTTCGAACATTCGATTCTTGGAAATTAACAAGTGGAAGAAGAAGTTTATAAAATTGTAATTTATAAAACTCATCACAATTATGTTATTAAAAAATTTAAAGATTTATTTTTTTCTTATTCTCTAGAAGTTCTGTGAAAACATATATTTGAACCTTACGTTTAAATAAAGCCATGTAAAAACACGTATTTTAGACGTCGAAATGAGAACGTCTAAATTAGCTTATTTAAAGACGTCATTTGGCATTTCCATTTAGCACTTGTTCTGAACGTCCTAAATTCAACGTATTTTAGACGTCTAAAAACACGTCTTTATTCCGTCCTAAAAAGACGTCCTAATTACGTCTTAAAAAGACGTCATCTGGCGTTGCCATTTAGAACCAATTCTAGACGTCCTAAAAAGACGTCCTTTCGAGGTCATATGGATGTTGCCGTGCCCGCTGGGTCAGTTTGTTCATGTATTATTCTAGAGGCATGTTTTTGTCGTCGATAAAGGGACATTAGCTTTGTCTTGTGTGTGCTTCCCCAAGCAATGTTGGCATATGTGAGATAACTATGTATAAAGGAAAAGTAAAGTTTTAGGTTTTTTTTGTGATAAAAATGGTCTAGCTTTAAAAAGTATACCAATACTTTTAGATATTTTAGTGTTGATGGCATTTATATGGGTTCTTCATGAAACATTTACGTCAACAATCTTACCAAGAAATTTAATTGTTTGGATTCTTTGAACTTTTTTGTGTTCAATACTTAGTGAGGGTAGAATTGATGGCAGTTTATTTTTCTGTTTCATAGAGTGAAATAAAATATATTTAGTTTTTTGTGCGTTTAATGATAACATGTTAGTATTGAACTATGTTTTAAGTTTTTGAAGCTCAATGTTGACTTTATCAAAAAGATCATTGATAGAGGTAGATGAGTAAAACAGATTGGTATTATCTGCAAACATTGTTATATCGAGATTTGTAGAGGCTTTAGGGAGATCGTTTATGTAGATAAGAAATAATAAAGGTGCAAGAAAAGATCCCTCGGGAACACCACATTTTATTTTTAATAACTTTTCATTAGTAATATCGTCTATTATAACACATTGTTGTCTGTTATTTAAATAATTAGTGAACCATTTAATAGTTTGGTTTCTTATACCGTACTTTCTCATTTTACCGAGGAGAATTTAATGATTAACAGTATCGAAAGCTTTTGTAAGATCAATAAAAACTCCCAATACAAATTTTCCTTCATCAAAAGATGATCTAATGTTGTCAATTAGGTATAAGGTTGCATGCTCCGTAAA